TGAACGAATTTACTAGATGGTTGGTGAATAAACCAAAACAGTGAAATGCCCACCTGATGGCTATTTCCGTAGATTAAATTTTAAATAAGACATTTGAATAGGTTATCAGTATGTACAGAAGTTACATAATTATCCTGCACGAATATGACTGAGTATTAATGTAGGATGTAAGTGTAGCACCTCAGTTTACCGAACTATAAGGCGCACAAAGATAGACAATATACAGAGAAAAAGATATTCGAAAGAGCGAAAATGTGACAGGGAGAGAGAAAGAGAAGAGTAACAAAGAAGAAGAACATGAGGATTTCATGGACGTGGGAGACAACAAAGAGTGAATGCATATACACCATCAATCAGATAGATTTAAAGTCATTTCACCAAGAGTGAGTCTACCTCCAGCCATTGGGTCTTAACAGCCAAAAGAACCTAACCACGCAGTCTACACCTACCCCTATGTGGCTAGTTCAAACCAACCATCAAAAATTTCGCGGACTGGACTGACGAAAGGTTTTGCTTTGCCTGATCCTATGTCAGCTAACATTTCTCAGCGAGGAAGGTATTCACTCGGAAGATGCAACATGTGTTCTAGCCGACTCAATCGATGTAACTTCACTCGACGCCCAACCTCACACTATTACTCACAACATTATATCACTTAACACGAGATACAGAACGCAAACATCTGTGGTCGAAGATAGTTAGCCTTTTTCCTATCTTCCACTTCCAATGACCATGTCTCACAATCATAAAGGAGGACACAGCGACCTGTTGAGGAGTACACAAGTCGTTTGATCGACAGATTTACGCCATATATACGCCAGAGATTGTATGAATATCCAACCACTGAAAAGATAATGCATTCTTTATTCCCTTTTGACTTTAAGGATTGTGCAGTGAAATGGACGAATTAATCAGCAGTTTAAGAAAGTTAAGATACAATTAGTACTACAGTGACTATATTTCATGTATATTGTAGTAACTGGCTATCGCTAACTGTAAGTCCACAAGCTGTTGTTTCCACGATGACAAGTGAGTATAAATCCTTTGAGGCCAGCTAGAACACATATATAAAAAGTTCCTGAGGACTGAAAATAATTCTGCATCTTTTCACTATTCATGGGTTTTCACAACTGTTGCATACTGAGATGATCAAGCCTACTCTATTGTCAAAAACAATTGAATATTAAGACGTATTAAAAGTTGTTTATTGTCCATATCTTACAAATTACATAGATTATTATTTATTAAAACACAGATATAGTGCATATGAAAATCAAGAAATGCGCCTAAAAAATCTCATAGTTTGTTTGAGGGTTTCGATATTTCCTGTCTAAGCGTCCTGTAGCTGGTTGTCTTAGGCGGCTACATACGAGCCTTAAAATTGAAGTCGAATCCACAAGACAGGGAAGCAGAGTCAGGAGCTACGTCCACATGGTTTCCAGCTACTAAACCAGGTTCACGAATTATTCAATCCTTTCGCGTTCTGGAGCTCATGTACACCATAGATTTGAGATAATGGTTTTACAGCTCCTTAAGCTAGACAGACCTGCATGCCAACCAGTTAGTTGGGTTACAAGTATCAGACGTCTGCATTCACTCTCACCGTGTGAAGGCGGTGAATAGGACTTAATTGGATTGATTTAAATAATACATCAGAAGTCCGAAGAAAGGATGCCTGTTAACCACGCAGGTGGTCCAGGTTACATTCCTGATTGATGCATTACTCCTAAAAACCTCGCCTTATCAATAGTAAGCGGAAAAAAGAGGCAAGATTGGGCGTGGGCCAAGCAGGCTTACCTCGTGGAAACAATACAACTGCTACTTGAACTTCGAAGCTTGAAGCTCTATGTTCCACTCGGAATGCAAAGAATGAGAAAATATCTTCAAGCTGATGTATAGCGTTACTGATGTGATACAATGATCTCTTAAATGTTTGCATATCTTACACAATCTTTTCCTCTTTCTATGAATAATCCTAGGTGTGTCTGCCTCCGAACATCCAACACCTCCTTGAATGGGATATAGACACAGGTCCTCCATCCCTAACCGAGGTTACTAAAGCTGTCTCCAATCTGAAACAAGGCAAAGCAGCGGGACCTGATGGAATGACTCCAGAGGTATTTAAGTACAGTGGAGACAGTTTACTGTCTGCATTAACTGAGGTACTAGGCAGCGTCTGGGAATCAGAAGAAGTCCCATCGGGTTGGTGTAAGTCACTGATTACCCCCACATACAAGAAGGGAGACAAGTCTTCCTGTGATAATCACAGAGGGATTAGCTTGACTAATATAGTATCTAAAGTCCTAGGATCAATAATCATGCGTAGACTAAGTGGTGCTCGGGAGGCACAGACACGAGAGAGCCAGGCAGGCTTTAGACCAGGAAGAGGGTGTATTGATCGTATCTTCACCCTCCGACAGATTCTAGAACATAGGCATTCCTACCGGCGTCCAACAATCATCATATTTCTTGATCTAAAGGTGGCATTCGACTCTGTCGACCGGGAGGTTCACTGGCAGTGCTTGGCTGTAAAGGGAATGCCGAGAAAATATATTGCACTGATTAAGGCACTCTACTCGTACTCATACAGCCAGGTGAGGGCTTACGGCGAGTTGTCATCTGAACTGGTGACGACCAGTGGTGTCCGTCAAGGATGCCCATTATACCCTTTTCTATTCAACTTCATCATAGATGTACTAATGGACTTAACCCTAAGTGACTTCAGCAACTCAGGGATTGACTTGCTACCAGGGTGGGAATAATCTCGTCGACTTGGAATATGCAGACGATATAGTCCTTCTAGGCGAAGACGCTGACAAAATGCAGTCTTCTAAACACCTTGAGCAGCAATCTACGAATGTTTGGCATGCGATTCGCTCCCGCCAAATGCAAGATGATGTTACAGGACTGGACTACATCAACGCCTAGTTTAAAAATAGGAAGTGAAGTGGTAGAGCACGCTGACCGCTTCACTTATTTGGGAAGTATCATCAGCCCCAAAGGGTTGATCGTTGACAAAATCTCAGAACGGATACAGGGGGCTAGTTTCGCATATGCCAGTTTATGCCGTCTCTGGCGTAGACGAGATATTCGACTATCGACCGAAGGGCGGGTGTACTGCTCATCAGTCCGTTGCGTCCTCCTTTATGGCTGTGAGTGAGACCTGGCCACTGAGAGTGGAAGACATGAAAAGATTAGCTATCTTTGATCATAGGTGCCTGCGTTCTATCCCCCGTGTGAAGTGGCATAATAAGGTGAGCGATATTGAGGTTAGGAGTCGGTGGAGTGCTAGGTAAACAGGGGAAATCAATCGACGAGGTTGTGAAGTTACAAAGACTGAGATGGTTAGGACATGTGTTACGTATGCCCAGTCATCCCCTTCCTCGACGAGCAATGTTAGCGGACACATGGTCAGGTTGGAAAAAAGCTAGCGGCGGTCAAACAAAAACATGGCACCAGTCAATGAAATCCACAACACTTAGTTTAAGCCAGCCAACCAGCCATGTAGGGAGCTGTAGACTTCCTGACTGTCTGGTCGCGGTCCTCAGGATGGTAAGAACCAATGGCGACTGGCGACAATTGGTAGTATATATGGCTAGCTCAAAATCCTCGTTCTCAGTGGCTGACGAAGGTGCATTCATTCTTTGTGATTTTTCATATTGCATAAATCGTTATTGCTCTTCCATATTACTCTTCTTCTTTTTGCCTCACATTCCTGTTGTTTATCTCTGTCTCTCTTTCTCGCTCTGTGTTGTTTTTGAATCTGTCTTTGCTGTCTTGTCTTGTTTTGTGTACTACGTGGAGGGATTGTGGCAACTCGAACTGGTGCACCCATGTGTTCAAAGTTCTCTGTTGAAACCAATTAGTCAGTCATGAATAATCATAAATGACAATTAAGATCCCGCATCTGGCCACTTCTATGTGCATATATCAGTTCACCTGCTGCTGTGGAGCCAAGTAAATCGGTCGTTCGACGCGCATCCTGTCCGAGAGGATTCAAGAACACTATCCATCATGGTTGCGAAAAGGCAATACTGGTGCAATAAGGAGTGAGATAATTGAATACCTGGTCAACACAGATCATTGCATTTCAACAAACGCCTCCTTCAAAGTAATCTACAGAGTCAAGAATAACATCAGAGGCAATACGGTTTCGTCTCCTATGTATGGCTGGAGCTCTGGCCATTCACATGGAAAAACCGGAGGTGTGCATACAAAAGAAGATTACTCAACCACTTGTACTCTCATGGTAACAATGTTTTGATTTGTTTTGAGTTTTTATTTTTATTTTGATTACTTAATTTTGTTTCTTTGCCTGTTCTGTAGTTGCTTATAATTCTTGTATTCACTTAGATCTCTTACATAATTTCGTATTATCTACTTTGTTTCTATGTGCATCACTATTATTATTACAACTTTTTGTGACAACTCATCACCTTTGTTACTGCCCTAGTTTCATTAACACTTAATTTTCTTGACCTGTATTACCAACCTTCACTTGTTTAGTTAAAAGTAACCTTAACCAATTGTAATTTTGTTTGACAAACTTAATGTACACATACATACAAAACAATGCATATATATTTGCGATTGTACAGCTAAGAAAATGAATTCCCAGAAAAGAGACTCTTCGCTGATCTACGTGTTTTGTTTTCATGAATGACAATTAATCAAAAGTAACATGGAAAAACAATGTTCGAATAGACTCGAAACGACATTCCGACTTTCGATCCAAATTAGAAACTTTGAATTTACTTTGTGCACATGTGGATTAAGCTCAAGTGACGAATACTTACACTAACAAATCATATTTGAACATATCTTTTACCTCACGGATGAAAGTAAATCAAAGACTACATAAATAGATTAATGTTTTTTTAAGAGTAGCATTCGAATGATTTATATTAAGTTATTGCCACGTAGCACTAGAAGTGAAAACAAACTACAATCGAAAAACGCTTAGAGTATGACACAGAATACATTTATTGTGAATGACTTACCTTGACTAGTTTCACTTTCACGTACCAAGAATACGCCTTGTGAATTACCTTCAAGTAGTAACAACCTTTCCGAGTCTTTACGAGACAATTTAGGCATAAACCATCTGCGAATAGAAATTGGGATAGAAATATTAATAACCCATTGGGACAATAATAATCCCGTGAAAGGCATATCTCTAAGTTTATTGACGTTGAAACGCTTCAATATTGCAAACTACTACCAAAAAGAAGTAGAGGAACTTTGCGGGTCATTGGAAAACATACAAATTTAAGAATCAAGGAGCCAACATGCCAACGGGAAATCCAAAATAATGACTTTAACAAATAAAAGTAGTAGAAAGAGGTGGCTTTTGTAATCCAGTGAATAAATCTTTGGAATCTCAAATAATGGATGCTGAGTCCAAGTTCCAACAGGTTGTACGTACACACACACACTACTAAAATGCTTCTTCAAAACATTTTCTTTTGTGACTAAATGTTTCATCTTCTCAACCATGTAGTGGTTTGTTAACAGTATATATATATATATATATATATATATATATATATATATATATATACAAGGGCCCATTCGCTTTATGGATTTTGGTAGATCGTACACAAACGGCAAGCGTCTACTTTTTGACTTCAGTTCATTGAATGTTTCGCTGTTGATTAGTATTTTCACTAGATGTTGTTTGAGACATTTACTTACTTTGTTTTTAAATGACGTAGCATCCTTTTTATTGTCTACTTGAAATTTTTCGGTGTCGTTTAGATTTGTTACCATTTTATGTATATAATCGGCTTTGTTCGTTATAACAACCCCAGAGCCTTTATTATGTCTAAATATAATGTCATCGCTTTCATATAGTTTTTTCAAAGCTATTCTATGCACTTCAGTTAGCATCTTCTGCTTCTCCATTGGTGATATGTGCTATTGATTAGCTATACCAACGGGTGTAGACTTTAGCCATCCTCTTTTATCTTAATCTAACGATTTCTGGTCGTAGAGTGGATGGTGTAAGTGTTCGAATTGTGCTTGTGTCTATACGACTGATGTGCCTCTTGGGGACGTGAAACTTGAATACTAGAGATAAGGCTTCTAACTCAATTTTGCCTAATTGTAATTTTAATAGATTAGAGACGTAGCGTTCAGGTGCTTCTGCGAATCCTGGGAATGCATTTGACTTGAGAGGAATTACCAGTTAGCTGTTTACTTAATTAAATTTAGCTACTGCTGGTTGCAGAACAACCTAGGCAAATTTTAGATAAGTACAAGTCATCCTATAATTGCAAATAAATACAATGGCTAATTTTTTATCGATGACGGCATTATTATCTTAGATATTTAGCAATTACCTATTTTTTTAAAATTCCTTTACGTTGCCAGTGGAACATAGGGCAAAAAGCTTGAAGTTTCGGTAGCAGCGGTGTTTTTTTTATGGGATGGGGTCGCTAGTCTCATACCCGACCTCCGCTCTTTACCAGTCTTATTACTAGCTTAGTAAGGCGAAGGAGTGCGCCAGTCGGGAATCGAACCCCGAAATACCCGCGTGGTTGGCGAGCATTCTGCCACTATGCTACCAACGCTTACGCATTATGCTATAAACTAAGGTGACTTCCAAAACTGTCTTGATGCTTAAACTTTATTAGATAGATGTATATAAAAGTGGCTGAATGGATAAGTAGGTGAGTCACATCCCACTGTTATTTATTTGATAACTACATCATTACTTGTGACAGTTTACGCAAGAATCAAACTATATGAGCATGGAAATACAGAAGTAAAAATAAAAACGAAGATGTGCACTTGAGGTCATTTTTCGCGCAATTCCAAACATTTTTTCACCGTACACTTACACATCCTGTTACATTCATCAAGTTTTCTTCTTAATTACTTGACCACATATCCACAAGTACGAATTAAAATGTCGGTAATTTCATTTATTTAAAGCTGATAAAAAATAATCTGGGGAAATTAATTTAGTTTTACGTTAATATTGTACAGAAGCAACATGATCAAGTTATCACAATTACTGTATATATACTTTGAAAGCTGAAATCAATAAACTACAGAAGTACTAAATGCACTTATATCTGATTTAGTGATAAAGAATGGTGTAGACTTTAACAAAGTAATGGGTGTGTACTGATTATGGCATTATTTGTTGAAAAAGTCGGTGTCACAGCAGTGTAGTGCACGTATGTGGTCCGAGTGGTTCGGTCTCCGGCCACCGACGCACTTCTTTGCCTCGCTAACCCAGTAATAAGACTGGTAAAGAGGGAAGACTGGGCATGAGCATAGCTACCCCACCCAGTAAAAATAAAAACCACTACCACCGAAACTTCAAGCTTCTAGATTGAAGCCCTATGTTCTACTGGGAAGGTAAAAGAGTTAAAAAACAGAAGGGAAACTTACTCTTCAGCTTCAACTGATCCTTTCAGAGCAACAAATGAACTCGGGACGTATCCTTTTCTACCTGAACTTAAGTTCTGTATCAGCCACCAGTCCGCATCCCTGAAAAGAACACAGAGAAGAGATTATTACGTGTGGGCATGGGTGAATACCGCTAAAGAGCAAAAGTGCTTTAAATAAACAAATCAGAATGGTCATGTTGATCGACTCTACTTGCTAGTTTCCTCTCCATCAACCATTTTTGACGTTAGAACTATGAAGAAAAAAACTGTGGCCCCATAAACAGTTGGTTGACACCAAGTTGTACGATTCGGACTGATACGTCTACACTAAGTATTATAATCTACGATAAACGGTCTGTTTCAAAGCTCTAGATTATTCGCCTTCTTTTGATGCAACCATATGTACCTTATTCTAGAGATATCATATGATGCACTTACAGGATTTCCACGAAACTTTTCAGAAGAAACCATGCAGTTTTTTTCCATCTAGTACGTCCTATTAACTATCTTACGTTGCGAGCTCTTCAGTAATGGTTCGAAATCATTAGTTAGAAGTGGTCTGTTAAGAATTCTTAGAATGATAATTAATTCGATTTGTTAGCAGAGATTTGGATAGGTATGGACTTACTCATCAGCCAGTATTAAGACATCATCCCTCCTACACAGAGACGTTTCTTCTTCAGTTCTAGCATTGTAATCAAAAAGAGCTATAAATCGTCGTGACTCAGTCGGTTTCGTGTATTTTTTGATAATCTTGCATTCATTTGAGGTTTTCGTTTCGGACGAATGTGAAACAGCTATTTCCATGTTCGCTGGAACTCGGGTGGAATGAATCGGATGGGGACTATGGTTCATACGGTTATCCAAACGCACTTGGTTATTCTGTAGCACATTAGATACTTCAGACCTGCTAGTCTGAGAACGAGGAGATAAGGGGCTGTAGGCAAATGTCCTGTCCATTGGCTGAGATATTTTGAGGTCAACACTGTTAGTAATTGCGAGTCCCAGAGAGAGTGATTTATCTTTCAAGGGTGTAGATATGACAAGTCTTTTGAAGCAATTTCCCATAGCTTGTACCATTTAGACCCATCCCAACGGCTCAGATAATTTCCAAAAAGAAACTCCAGAATACCAAAGTGCCGCCAAATAAAATATTCAATGCCCAATTTGTCTATGGTTTTCTCTAATATGCTTATCGACTTAAAAGGGTAAGCTTGCCCATTTTTAAGCTGTTGTAGGCATACGTCGTAGATACCGGTGAAATTTGTTTGCCATCGCATCAAGGGGCTTTGGAAGCTATTCCAGCAACAACGCTTGTCATTGTAATCCGATATCCAATTTAATTTGGTGGCCTTATTTGTCATTATTAGAGTACAGTATTTATCATTTGACACATTTAGGCTAACCGTTCAAGTTGACTGGTTAGGGCGAAGGTACGCTGTCACGAGTCTTCTCCGTTTGGTGCCCTATCATATTGCGTTCAGTTGTTCATACATGATCTCTAGTTGGCTAAGCAGATATCGCTGTTCCACGTTTCTGTCCGGGAAATATCTTTCCTACTTTCCCCTAAATTTCCTCTTGTTGTCTGGTATTGAATAACAAGTGCAAAGGGATTGGGAGATACATATTCATATTACCATATCATCATCGTCTGCAGTGAGTTTGTAAGCCTTATACGGAGGCAGACAATTCTTTAGAATTATTAGACTAGAGTACTATCTATTCAAAACTAGAAGCTGACCCTCCCTATTTAAGCCAACTTCTCCAGCTAAAGGCTCAAGGTCAGGCATTTAGGCCATTCGATACCTTGTTACATTCGGTCGTCCTTGCTCAATTAATAGCTAGCTCAGTAGTCATCATTTCACTAAGATTCTGATCAGGTAGCATATCTCATGTTACGAGCAACTAATTGGTTGTTTTTATTCGTTTCTGGCCAAAACGCTACAGGAAGTATTGAATGTGGGGATAGAAACTTTAGTTTACAGATGGTTTATCTTAAGTAAACTTCGGCATCCCTTTATTTCCCAAAATCCTCATCAACACAGAACGTTAAGATCCCTCGATAGTAATTGGGGGTTGAAGGATTCAGGAGAATCAGACAGGAAATTAAAAGGTAACTATATCTCCTTTGTGACTTATAAGGCTCCCTTTATCTGTTTAACCAAAGTTAATGATAAGTATTCCTTCATGTATTTGGCGAAATGCTGCATCACATGACCAACAGCGTAATTTTGAGGTGAACTTTCAAACGATGCAGACGACGCGTTTCCAAAGGTGAGTTTGTGGAGTTTTAGTTTGTTATCATTCTTCCGTTAAAATGTTAGATGAACTAAGTCAGATAGATCTCAAGTTTGACTACGAATTGACATCCAGTAGACAACCCTCAGGAAGTAATAGGCACTTGTTTCGTACTTGTTTGGAACTTAGAGACGGTACACACCCAGCGGGGTTCGAACCTGCGGCCTCCCATTCGCAGACTGAGATTGCAGACTGTTCAGCCACTGTCGCCTAAAATAATGGTACATGTCAATGCAGTTGAAGATTGAACGATCAATTCATGGTTGTTTGCTCAAAATCAACTTCCCCGATTTCCGCGCTGGCATTAATACACCAGTCATCGTCTCATCGGTCGCTGTTCAGAAAGAAGTCAGAAGACAACTGTCAGAAGTAATGTTGTGATTTATTATTGTAATATTTGTTCACAGACCTTAGTTGTAACAGTGTTTATATGTTGGTGTTACAATAAAGAATCCTCACGTCAACAATTGGTGTTTTGGTTTTTTCGTCCGTTATTACTAAGCGTTTCTGAGAAACTTCAAGCGACAGCGTGGGCCCGAGCGTGGCGAGAGCTGGGCATTAACGGTTTATGAGACGTGGCTGACAGTTTCTGATGGTGAAGTCAGCTTTCAACGGTTTCGGACCGCTGGTGACAGTTTGGATAGTCGCCGTTCATCTTTCCTGGTGCCGGTCTAGTCCTCTTTGAACAAGCAATATCTGGAACGATTTTGGAATTGGGTCAAGTTCAACAATGCCTGGGTCAAAGAAGGGACAGAGTGTCTTGGATGCAAACAGGAAAGTAAGTCATGGTGACTTGGCTGTTAATTGTAACGATGTGTCTGATGTTAAGCATGACATGGTTGATGTTACTTTTTCGCCGTTCAGGGATAATAGGAATATCAAACTCCCTAAATTAGAACCATGGTGTTTTGATAGAAACCCAGCTGATTATTTACAATTTGTAAAGGAGTTTGAGATCATGTTGAGTAGCTTTCTATTAAGTGATGAATTGAAGTTAATGTATGTGATGAGATATTGCACTGGAGATGCTGCAAGAGCTATACAGTGTTGTAAGTTTATGAAGCCAAAAGAGGGCCACTACGAGGCTATGAGCATATTACGTCAAAGGTTTGGAAGACCTTCAGTGATTGTAAGGAACGTATACGAAGCTGTCAAAGGTAACGGAAGTCAACTACAAAATGAATCCAAGGCACTTACTCAGTTTTTGGATAATCTTATGACTTATAAGAATACCTTGTGTCAATCACGTCTCATAAACCGTTAATGCCCAGCTCTCGCTACGCTCGGGCCCACGCTGTTCTTCGAAGATTTCGGAAAAGCTTAGTTATAACGGACGAAAAAACCAAAACACCGATCTGCAGCTTGAGATTTGTTTATTCTTACACCAACATATAAGAGGAATAAGCGAACTAAGGTCTGAAAACAAATATTACAATAATAAATCATTGTATTACTTCTGACGATGTTTCACTCTTCTTCCTGAACAGCGACCGATGAGACGATGATTGTAGTATTGATGCCTCCGCGAAAATCGGGGAAGTTGATTTTGAGCAAACAACCATGAATTGATCGTTCAATCTTCAACTCCATTGACACTCCCCGGCAAGAAAGGGATCCAACCCTTTTTTCCTTCACGATCAATGCACGTTGACTTGGATGCCATTGCGAGAACCTGGGTCACACGGACAGAGCCGAAATGGAAAACAAACAGAAAAGCCAACACACCACAAGCATACTCACAGCACAATCTCACACATCAATGACGACCTGCGCCTCCAGTTAAAGGCATCCTCTTGGCATCTTGCAACACAATCGCCACTTGCTAGAATGACTCTTGCAGAATGCAACGTGACCATAGCAGCACCTCATGATACTCTTCAAGCATCCTCTTTTCGATTCACTATCAATTACCACTGCAATCGCTTTTCACTCATTCTGCCTCAGTTCTAGTAGCGGTGACGCATGCGAGCCTCAGTCGTTTACACTCTTTCTCCCCGGCGTGTCGGACCGCAGCTAACAATTATCTCTGTGTGCATTTCATTCTCAGCAATAGCCTAGCCTCCCCGGCGTATACGACCCATCTGCTTTCTCTAACATCAATCAATTCATTCACGGATGTAGAAGAGTGGACACAACTTCAGAAGTAATCACGACGAAAATTTTAACAAAATTACGCAATAACAACAAGATACGGAAACAACAAGTAAACACAATGGATCCATAAACACCAATTGATAGGACACACCACACATATATACAAACAGTACAAACAAACTCGCAGATCGTGTCTCGATGGAATTCCTTTGAAGAATTGCAGGACTCACACCAGTACGCCTACAACCCTTCTCAGGTTGACGATTGTAAGTTGTGGAATGTACGGACACAAACAAGATTAACCAACAATTGCGATAATTGGAACTCACACAATTATTTAACACAAACATATGTACAATCAACACATCAAATGTGGTGGATTCTGCCTTGACAAACAACCCTTGAAGAACTGTAGGACTTACAGCAGTACGCCTACATTCCTTCTCAGATTGATGATCCAAGTGAAAGTCGTCCGGACTCAAACAGAATTACCAACAGCTAGATGACAGATGATATCAATTCAGTATATACAATATGAACATATGTGCAAGATCATACACCTAGCACACTGGACTGATCATTGATGCGCTACCCTTTGAAGAATTGTAGGACTTACAGCAGTACGCCTACAACCCTTCTCAGGTTGACGCCCTAGGTTGGAAAATCGTCGCAGAGTTCATTCGCTGACTTTTTTCTATGAGCTAAATCCTCAAATCTGAACAAAAACACTCCCATGTCATTGTATCGTAGAATATAGATGACGAACAAACACACGGCATATCTCATCAACCAAGTGTAGAAACAGAGTAATTTACATCTAAGATAATAACATTCAATTAGTAACTTGAAACTAGAAATGCCTTTATTCGTACAAGTCAATTTAACAATTACTCTCTCGTTTACACTTGGCTTATTCTCACTAAACTGAGCAATATCTTTCGTCTTTTCAAACGCACCAATACTATCATAGTCATTGCAGAAGATACTTGAGTTGATGGACATCTGTTTCATTGTGGATGAAAACACCAACGATGACTGAGTGACACAAGGTGATGAAGTTAGCGGTGGATCAGAAGCTGTTCTTGTTCGGCATTCAGATAATTGCATGAACCATGTATTTAAGCGTCCTGTCACACAAGCAATCAGTAAATGCTCAAGAACGATATCGAACAAAAATTTTCATATAAATTCATCCAACAAGAGCAAAATAAGCACCGAAATCGCGTCTACTGCGTTTGCTGGACGGCTAGCTACAACTCGAATCAACGAAACCGCGCAAATGCCGACAAGGTTAAGCCAGAGGCGCCACTTCAAATAGGGGATATGCTTTATCAACGCCCTAACTGCAAGATTACTACCACTGCTGTCCTTTACTATTAGTTCGGGTTTAGCATTATCATCTGATGATAGGTGGGCTACACGCTGATCAATTACACTGACTGTCTCACAAGTATGCACATCTTCTGGAACTGCATCTGCGTTCAATTCTACTTCACGTTGTAGTTGTACAGAACCTTTATTTAACTTAGCAGTAGTAGGCATATCCCGCATCTCATAATGATCAACCAAAGACAAATCTGCACTATCAAGATCATTACCACAAATGTTCACTTTACCGTCAAGTTCATCATTTTCAAACTCTTTAATAACAGAAGTAGACAATTTTGGTTCCTCCTCGCAAATCATTAAAGGTTTTATAACTTCACTCTGACTAGTAATACTTTGTAAACTTTTGGAGTCAGAACTGCACTCTGCAGCAGTAACTCTATTCTGTGACACTCTATTCAACAACGGCTTACCAGTTGCAACTACAGACTTCTTCACCGCACCGTTATCGTCGCACAATTCGGAGTCAGGTCTGGAGTTTACATTTAGCTTATCACTGAACTTGCTCACTGGTTCACAGTTCACTTCTGTATGCACCTCTTGCAAATGTGTAAAACACAACCGTGTTTGTCTTGCATCTTGCAACTTATCTGTTGAGGATGTACTACGAAAGCTGTTAAACTCACTAGATCTATATGCATTACTATACATCATGGAGCCTTCTCGATATCCACCTC